TGCTCTCTCTTGCTTTGACTGTGAATTCTTAGAGGAAGAAGTCTACCCCTTTATCTCTGCCTCCTTGGTACGGAGCACAGAGTCTGGCATGTAGTAGGCTCTCAAGATATGTGTATCCAATGGTGATGTGAAGCTGTATTTGAAATCTCCATTACCAGCAAGCCAATATTGTGCTTTTTGTTCTCACCAAGTCCCTGTACAGTTCTTTCTTTCTTGCAATTGATTCATGCCTTCACAAAAATTGTCATGCTATTCTTTAAAATCATGTCCATGAAATCACAGATTGAAGACCAGCTTATATTTTTCCTGATACATATTAAAATAAATAGATAATTGTTAAAATAAACAGTAACACTGTTATCACCTAAATCAGTACACCTTGGCAGGCAGTTCACCTTTAGGAGACACTGATTAGGTTTTATTCGCTAAAATTGAAAAATAATTAATTGTGTCATTTCTGGACTTTAGGTCCACACATACTCACTGATGAGAGTTTTCTATAGAACAAAGTTAACACTCTGTTTAAATGTGTCTATGTACCAGTTGTTTAATTTGTAGGGCACAATTTGTATCTGAGAGGAAGGGGGTTGTCTTATCAACTGTCCAGATAGTGTAATTATGTAGATTCTGATCTTGAGGAGGTATTTGACTGTTTAGCACTCAGTGACAGATTTTCTCAAACCCTGGCACTCTTCTCATCCCTCACCCCAATGTCTTTCCCAAATCTGAATAGCCTTCCTGGGAAATGATTCTTTAAAAGCTCTCCAGAAGATAAACAAATGCAGTGCATAAGCAGATAATACACACGGGGGAAAGTAATTAGTTAATAAAGATATGTGAAAATCTGCAAACTCCCTGGTAATCAAGTACAGATTAAAGTTACATACAATATATCATTTTAGGATTTCTTAATGAGAGGAACTGTTAAGGAATAAAGCTTTTTGCAAATGAAGTAAAATCAGTATTCTGGTACTTTGCCTAGAGTTATACAATGCATGATAACTGTGAACTGGTAAGAAATTTCTATTATTTAGCAATGAGAACCAAGGCTTCACAATAGTGATGAGGCCTTTGACCCATTGGAATTTCTTTCTTTTTTTTTTTTAAGAAGATTTATTTATCTTTATACAAGAACTGGGGTACAGGCCAGAGGTGTGGGAGGGTGAGAGGATTCACCAAAGACAGAGTGGGGAGCAGAACAGGCAGACAAACCAAAAACACTGCTGAGGGGAGCAGCGGGCAAGGCAGGAGAGGTCTGCCCCGCCATATGGGCATCTCCCTGGCCAGCCTGGAATCGAACCCGCGCTGCAGAGGCTGAGCACTGAGCTCAACCCGTTACGCCACCGGGGAGGCCAGACCCATTGATATTTCTATTTCTAGGAATCTAGTCTATGGAAAAACTATATGGAAAATCTTTGTTACTATATTCTATATCCTAGTGAGGATAAGGAAGGCCCAGAACGCCAGTGAGAAAGGTATGGGTAAAACTGGTTATCTGTATCCATTCAGTGGGTAATCATGCATGCATTAAATCAGGTTTATGAAAACATTTTATGACATAGAAAAATGCACTGAGTATAATAGAAAGTAGGATTTTATAGATAATCATGGTAAATATGTAAAAATGAACACACAGGAAAGAGCCTGTAAGCAAATGCCCTCGCTCCTGGCGGGGCGGTGCATGTCACAGCCAAGTGCACGAACTCTGGTATCAGATTGTGTTTGTGGCTCGACTATGCTGCTTATTAGTTTTGTGACCTTGGGCAAGTTGCTTAACTTCCCTAAGACTTAGTTTTTCTCATCTGCAAAATGAAATAGCTATCTCAGCATGTTGTGAGGATTAAGTAAGCTAACTTATGTAAAACATTCAGCACAGGGCTGGCACATAATGGCACTGACTAAATTAGTTATTCATCCTACAGATATATATATATCTCAACCATTGACTATGAGCAAGATACCTAATAGGCTGGCAGATCATGGGGTACTTTCATCTCTTTTCTGTTTTCTACAACATGTTTATGTTCTCTTTATAAGGAAAGGGATCCGCTGTGCCTGCCTTGGTTGGTGGCCTCATCAGCAGTCTCCTCTAAGAGGATGCTAATGACTCTCCCTGGCTTTGCCCCTCTTCCCCATTTCAAAACAATGGATTTGATCTTGTCACACCATGGCTTCAGCACCTTCACAGGGTCACCACTGCTTGTAAGATGAAGTCCAAAATCTTTATTTAGGGATTTTCATACCCTAAAGCATCATTTCTTGCTATTTCCTCTCTGTACTCTCTGTCCCAAACACTCCAGCTCCTCCCCCCAAATATTCACAGGACAGCCACTGTCAGAATCCTGGATCCTATGCAGCATAATGTTGCAGTTCACAAATTCCAACCATCTTCAAAATGATGACTCTCGCCCTACACCCACCAGGATGCAGATCCCAAAGTTTGGAGTGAAGCCCAGAAATCTGTTTCTTTAATAAGCATCCTGCAAGATTCTGCGATGAGGTTCAGGGAGCCCCTTTGAGAAACATTCCGCTCTGTCCTTTACCTGGTAGGCCAGTTCTTCTATCTGGTGGGCACTTTTGCATTTCACCAGGGACTGCTGAAAGTTTTGCTATGTTTTTCTGCCTTCCACCAACAAAGATAGTCTCTAGTCTTTTTACTTCCATGGGATCTTATCCAAACTTCTACTATGGCTTTGTACTTTTTTCCCTTACTTACTTTTCTAGCCATCTGCCCCTCTGAACTGTGAGCTCCTAGGTTTCAGGGACTATGTCCCATTTATCCTTACAGCCTCCTACATAGCATAACAGACAGAGTTATCACAGGTGTCTATGGGTAGTTTTCATGCACTCTTTCATTTCATGGCATTAAATGTGGCAATTTCATGTGCAATGCTGAGTTCTGGATCATTTGTAATTATTAAAGTTGGCTTTACTGATGCCAATTATTGGTTCTGTTCATTATCTCCCAGGCTGTGTAAAGTCATCACCCTCTCTCACAGGAACAACTTAGCATGTTACCTGCAACCACAAAACTAGGATGTTCTGGGAGAGAGAAGGAACCTTAGTGAGAAACCATCAGGATGAACATAGATGGCCGATGAACTTTGAGCTAAAAGATATTAACTAACCTTGGGTAACCCGGTCTGTTAACTGCAGACAAGTGAGCAGGGTACAGACCTAGACAGGTGATTGTCTTGTGTCCAGACCCCAACAGACTTGCCACAAGCTTTCCTGTTTAAATGCTAAATAGCATGATGGTAACTCACATGGGCCTTTACGACAGACTGCCTTGGTAGAATTACAACTCCACCTGCTTTGTCACCCTGGAGGTATCAGTCACCTCTCTGTGTTTCAGTTTCCCCATCCATACAATGTGGCTAATAATTGTACCTAACTCATATTTTTTTGTAAAAATAAGTGAATTAAAATATGTATAGTCTTTAGAATTTTATTTGGTACATAGTAACTGTTCAATAAATGATATTTATTATAATTAGAGTTCTATGTTGATTTCTATATTGAAAGTTTGCTCTGGCCTTTTTTTTAAACACATGATTAAATTTTCAGTAGTGATCATTGTCCTTGATTAACTTCCTAGCAATCAAATTGGCTGCAACTCCACAGAACTTGCAAAAGTTCTAATATAGTCTAATACAGTCTCCAATTATGTATTGCATGAAGTTGGAATATGTATTAGCATGAAGTTGGAAAATATGGTAAAAAACAATATAAGATTATTAATTGCAGGTGCTTATTATATTACACCAAAATGATAAAATGAGAAAGACCTTGGGGAAAAAATGTAAGTAACAAAGTCACAACTATTGAAAATTGCTAGCAATACAATGCATAAAAAGATTCCTCCTACCTTCTAACCCTTAGAGAAAAATAAGTTATCAGTCTGCTTTCAGTGTTGAGAGGCTATATCAGTCAAAAGTATGGGCACTGAGCACTTTACATAAATTTTCTCCTTTAACACCCATTTGCAATCACTATTATTCTGATTTTACAGAGAGAAACTAAATAGTTTCATTACTAGTAATGGCAAAACTGAATTCTCACTCATCTCTAAGATGGCTCCAAAGCTCCAGAGCTTTATGTTTTACCACAAGGCTTCTTTGTTGCTCTCAGTTATACCCCTCTTAAACTTCCGAGTGGTGTTTTATAGCCTAGATATTAGTAGCAAATTATTTACAACAGTTTCTACTTCTAGCTTTGCAGCCCCCAAAACCTGTGAGAAAGAAAAGCTTTCTATGAACCCCTATTGAAGCCCTAACGCCCAGAACCTCAGAATATGACCTTATGTGGAAATAGGGTCATTGCAGATGAAATTATTCAAGTTAAGATAAGTGCAGACTAGAGTAAGGTGGACCCCAATTCAATATGACTGGTGTCCTCAGAGGCAGAAGAGATACTGAGGAGACATACATGCAAGCCAAGAAGTCAAGGAATGCCAAGGACTGCCAACACGTCCAGAAGCATGGAAGGGGGAAGAAAGGGTTCTCTTCTGGAGGGTTCAGAGGGAGCACAGTGCTAACAGTAACTTAATTTCAGACTTCTACCCTCCAGAAAACTTGTGAAGCAACAAATTTCTGTTATCTGAAGCCACCTAGTTTGTGGTACTTTGTTTCAGCAGCCCTAAGAAACGAACAGATACTCCCACCTCCTGGAGTTGGGGGTGGGGTGGGGGAATGTTCTTTGCTGCCCATGATAATAAACAGAAGACATCTTTTTGTGGGGTCTTACCACTTTACCCTCAAGAGCTTGCTGGCTGTTGTCACTGGGATTTGTAATGGCAGTCATGACAATGTTATTGCAGTGGACACTTCTTTTCTCCCCAACTGCCATCTTTTCCCACACTTGTTAATAAATCTCTATTTTGTTCAGGTTTTGGCTCTTCATCCTTCATGGGGACTTTTTGTTCTGGACTTTATGCTTTAGAAATACTCTCCCTTTGGATTTATCAAAGTGAATTAGCTTCTTTCATCCCATTTTGCTAGTGACACTATTTCGAAGCTCCGGAATCTGCTGGATTTTACCATCAAGTGGGACTTCTGCATGCTGCCTGTCAGACTGAAGGAATGGAGTAAATAATTCATCCACCAACTCAAAAAGTTAGTAAGTTTGGTGACTTTTGCTGGCACAATTACCGACACATACTGAGAGATCCAAACAACAGCTTCAGTGGAGTTGCAGGTAGTCCCTTATGTTCTTAGCTTCTCCTTAACTCCCTCACGGCAAATTGATGGAGGGGCACATTTTTAAATGGTTTCTTGTTCACACTGAACTTTAACTTTTTAACACCTTATTTTTATATATTGTATAATTACATTTGTATAAAAATCAAAAATAGGCAAACTAAGTTACCTCTGGTGAGGAGAGAGGGGCAGAGGTTGGGAGGGGCAAGAGGGAGCATCAGGGGTGCTGATCACACAGATGTGTTTATTGTGATTTTGCACTTTTTTGTATCTATGTTGCCTCGATGGTTTTCTTAAAGATCACAATTTGACTCTGACTAATTCCAATGTCCTTTTCCCCACAGTACTGTTTCCACTCAAGTTCATTGTAAAACAAGTTTTCTTGGAGGGCTGACTTAATAAAGGGTGGGAGCTGAACCCCAATTACTAGCATCTGATCTACCTCCTTGCCTACTGAGTCACCATTTTTCAGGAGTTAACAGTCACTTCCTAATTCACTTGTTAAAAATATTTTTTTACTAATTTTATTTCTGAAAAATATTCTTACTAAAGAAATCTTCCTATTTTTACATGAGATGAGTTGAAGTGTGTTTTACTATGAACTACATTCTTAGAACATGCAGCTTACATCTTAGATAACAGCCCCCCTAAATCACACCTTATTGCCTTTAGTTGAATTTATTAAACTGATCATTTACGTGAGCAATGCATCGCTTTCAAAACCAAGCAGTAAGCAAATGACTAACTGCTCTCCCATCTGTTCACATTCTGCATTGGCTTCCAGGAGTGTTTACCTAATATGTCTAAAGTAGTTGTGAATAAACAAAACACAGTTTTCAGAGGAACTGCTCATTATACATTACATCACATGGCACTTCCATCTTAGTCTAAGAAAAAACAAAACAGACCTTAAGAAGTGCATCTGCAGACAAACTCCACTTATTCTGAATGTCATCTTGCTTACCTGGGACAGCCAGGACATATACAGTACTGACAGAATACATTTGCAATATTTCATGTAATCCTTCTGATTTCTTTTGAGATTTTTGGTCAGAGATTAAAATAGACGGAAAAGTTTCTCTGGTTTTCCACTGAGGACTTCTGCGAAAAAAACCTCCTCCCTTTGGCAAACATTTACTCACCACGTATTCCAAACGCTGTGACTGATCTTAAAATACATATATTGTTCAAAGTGTTAAAATGTATCAAGGAGAGGGGTCTCCCTGGTGGCACAAGGGGTTAAGTCTCAGCATTATGAAGCTATCCACAGATACTGCAGCCTGACTTCAATCCCCCGCCAGGCACAGCAGCCCTCTCCTGTCTCACCTGCTGCTCCCCTCAGCAGTGTATTTCAGTAGATCTGCCTGTTCTGCTCCCCACTCTGTCTCTGGTGAATCCTCTTGCCCCCACCCTTGCCCCTGCACTTCTGACCTGCATGCCAGCTCTTGTATGCATAAATAAATAAATCTTAAAAAATTTATCAAGGAGATCTGAAAGAAGCACAACAAATCAGACAGTGAAAATCACAGAATTATAAGAACTGAGGTCAGGATTCAGAAGCAGGTAACACTGACTCTTAAAGAACTGATGGAATTGAAAGGTGGAGACAGGGAGAAAGGACCATCACTCCACACAGAAGAAGCAACGTTAGAACCTGCATAAAAACAAAGGAGGAAAATGTAAGGAAGAAAATTCGAATATAGCAATTAAATGATTTCTCTTCACTGTCTCTATCTCAAGCCTCCACTGAGTAATCTGCCCTCCCAGACAAGGAGGTTATGTTTTTAAAGTCTAGTTTTCTGAGTTATAATTACTTAGATTGACATTCACCATTTTAAGATGTACCGTTCAAGGAGTTCTGACAAATGTTTGCTGTCATTTAATCTCCAGAGTCAGTCTTGGGAAAGTGAACTTGAGGGAAAAAGGGGTTTGCTGTTTGGCAGTTCCTCAAAAATTAAACATGAAATTACCATATGACTCAGCAATTCCACTTCTAAATTTAGACCCCAAAAATTGAAAGCAGGAATTAAGATACTTGTGCACCCATGTTCATAGCAGCATTAGTCACAATAGCCAAAAGGCGGAAATAACTCAAATGTCCATAAATGGATGAATGGATAAACAAAATGTGGTATATACACATAATGCGAGATTTTTCAGGCATAAAATAGAAAGTATCGGAGAAAGATAAATACTATATGATCTCAATTATATGTGAAATCTGAACAATCGAACACAGAGGAACAGTGTGCAGATTAGTGACTGCCAGGAACAGTATGGGGGTGACGGGTGATGAGGATAAATGGGTGAAGGTGGTCAAAGGGTACAAATAAGATAAATAAGTCCTGGGGATGTTCAGCATGCTGACTATAGCTAATGATACCATATTACATATTTAAAGTTGCTAAGAGAGTAGATCTTAAAGTGCTCAGCACAAGGCAAAAAAAAAATGGTAACTATGTATGGTGATGGGTATTAATTAAACTTATTATGATAATCATTTTTTGCAATATGTAAAAATATCAAATCATTACATTGTACATCTTAAAAACTTACACAATGTGATGTCAATAAATCTGTGGGAGGTGGGGGGACCACCAGGAAGGTATCAGGGCCTGGGAGGAGGGGATGATAAGAATTGTTGCTTAATCTTTAGATTTTCTATTTCCAGTAACAAAAACAGTCTTGGAAATAGACTGTGGTGATGATTACACAAAACTGTGAATGTATTTAATGGCACTGAATTGCACACTTAAAAATGGTTAAGACGGTGAATTTCATGTGTGCACATTTTACCAATTTTAACATTTAATTTTTTAAGTGATTTTGCCTTATTTCTAAGGGCACAGGTAATTCTGAACCCTCTGGTTAACACATGACAAACATACAGACCTGAGAATAAATACTACACTGTAGATAAATGAAATAAAATTAAACAGATGAAAGAGCGCTGCTAGTGGGGAGAAGTCTGAGAAAAGAGAGAGAAATGAAAGGCAGGGTGACTAGAATAAGAGGCCAGTGTGGTGGTGCCGGAACGGCCTGAGTTAGAACACTGGCAGAGGAGAGGGGAGACGGCATTCACACAAGAGGCAGAGAGAACTCAGGAACTAAGGGACCGCACCAGAGGGAAGAGTGGAAAATGCTTGGCCAGGGGCACATTAGACCTTCATGAGTCCTGGGCACTTTTGCCTAGGAGAGCTCTTTCCTACATTAAAAAAAAATAAAATTACATTTTATGATTGCACTGAATATGTTGGTATTACAGATTAAAAACATGATTTGTCCTAAAAGTGCATTTTTCCTTCTGATTTTAAAAGAACTTAAAACATTTTTGTGGACCCCTAAACATATATGATGGGCCTTCGGCGCTGCCCCTTCACAGCATCCTGGAGGCACAGGTCCCGACCAGGCCCGCATGAGAAACTGATGGTCTCCTTCTCCTTCCCTGTGCCCTCCTGACTGGTGGATTCCCAAGGTATTGAGTATTTTGTTAACGTAAATATGAGCTGGAGGGGACAAGGCATCAGAGGTGGTTGGCTCTGTGTGGGATTCAAAATAATTTGGGTCTGAATCACAGCTCTTCCTGGCTGTGTAAACTGGAGCAGTTACTTAACCTTTCTGAGCCAGTTTCTGTTAAATATAGGAGTTTCTAATATCACGAAGGTCTTGTGAGGCTTAAACAGGGTAAAAAAAAAAACCAAAAAACAACCAGCTAAATCTGGTGCTGACTGTTCACGGCTCCTGGTCAGTACACACACAGCGATTTGGGGCCTATTATAAGGGGTTTGAAGGACAACTGGAGAGGGTAACCCCAAAAGGGAGAAGCCCCAATAAGTGAAGGAATCCAGACAGCATGGAACTTACTCTGTGAAGGAACACAACTGTTTTCACACTCTTCAGGGCAAGTCAAATTTGTCTGTCATCTCCCACCCACACAGTCTGGAGTTCTATCTCCCCCAAGCACACAGTGGCTCATGTTACCCCCTAGAGACACCCTAATATGATCTCCCCAGAGAAAGGTTCCAGCTCTCCTAAATCCCATTTCTCTACATCCCCATCCCACTTGCCATTTCTCACACTCCCCAGCCCTTTCTGCGCATGTGGTTTCTTTTACCTAAAATGTCAGGGTTTTGTGAACTTCTATTCATCCTACAAGAACCAGCTGCATTGTCTCCTCCTTCCACAATTGCCTAGGCAAAATTATCCCTCCCTCACTGGGCTCCCACAGCACCTGCATCATCCTGTTTGATAATCTTTTGTTTACATCTCTTTCCCCAGCTGGAAGGTGAGTCCCAAAAGGGGAGGGGCTGTTGGACGCTCATTCACAGTCTACCTCCACTACCGGGTTCCCACCCAGCTGCTGCCCCACCTCCCGCACATGTTGGCAGCCCATGAATGAGGGAAGGAAGGTTTCTTCATTGTTTATTTGCTTTTGGAATCTCACTTCTCACACCTGTTCCAACACAGGATGCTGGTTTATGCAGTGAATTAAAGATTCAACACTTAGCTGTCACAATGAGGCATGAAGTAGCAAGAAACTAGAACTGCTTCCAAGATGGGAAACTTTCAGGGGGATTAATTTGATGATTACACCTGCGTCTCCAGGTGGCTACTCCTACGAGAATGGAGGATGGAAGAAGTCAATGGTACCCCAAGGCTTGGGATTCATTTATATAATCCGCACCCAATGGGTAAGATAGGGTGAGGGACTAGACAGCTGCCTCTAACATGGGCCTCCCCCTCCTTGTTCATTTCTCACCTACTCCCCCACTCGCTCCCCAGATAGCACTTGGCCTCTTCTCCTTCAAGATGATCCT